AATAGTTTTATTGAGATATAATTCACACACATATAATTCACCCATTTAAAGTGTACAAATCAGTGGTTTTTAGGATATTCATATATATGTGAAACTATCACCACTGTCAATTTTAGAACATTTTCATCACCTCAAAAAGAAACCCAGTAGCCTTTAGCCATCATTCCCTTCTATACGTCCTCCCCCAGCTCCCCGCTACCCCCAGTCCTAAGCAGCCAGTAATCTGCTTTCTACCTCGCTTGGTTTTCCTCTTCTGGTCATTCCCTGTGAATGGAATCACATGTGGCCTTTTGTGGCTAGCTTCTTTCACTTGGCATAATGTGTTCAAGGTTCATCCATGTTGTAGTATCTATCAGTACTTCATTTCCTTTTATGGCCAAATAATATTCTACTGTATGGATATACCACATTGTATTGATGGACACTGGGTTGTTTCCATCTTTTGGCTACTGTAAATAATGCTGCCATAGACATTCATGTAAAAGTATTGTATGGACCTAAGTTTTCAGTTTTCTTGGGTGTATACTTAGGAGTGGAATTACTGGGTCATATGGTAATTCACTGTTTAATCATTTGAGTAACTGCCAGACTGTTTTCCAAAGTGGCTGCATCACTTCACACTTCCACCAGCAGCGCATGAGGGTTTCAGTTTCTCACATCTTCACCAGTGCTTGTTATTTTTTATTGTAGCCATCATAAAGGATGCGAAAAAGAAAAAAAAAAAACAAACCCTGTTGCCATCGAGTCGATTCCGACTCATAGCAACCCTACAGGACAGAGTAGAACTGCCCCGTAGGGTTTCCAAAGGAGTGCCTGGTGGATTTGAACTGCTGACCTTTTGGATTACCAGCCATAAGCTCTTAACCACGGTGCCACCAGGTATGAAGTAGGATCTTATTGTGGTTTTGATTTGCTTTTCCCTGATGATTAATGATATTGGGATCTTTTCATGTGCTTGTTGGCCATTTGTGTATCTTCCCTGGAAAAGTGTATATTCAAATCCTTGGCCCATTTTTAATTGAGTATTTGTCTTTTTTTATTGCGTTGTAGGAGTTCTTTATATATTCTGGATATAAATCCCTTATCGGAGATATGATTTGTATGTATTTTCTCCCATTCTTTTGGCTAGTGTTTGCATGTTTTTATCCTTTAACTTTAGCCATTCTGTGCCCCTGTATTTTAAAGTGTATCTCTCCATTAGCAGTGTACACTTAGGTATTTTAATACCTACTCTCATAATCTACCTGAAGAACTCCCTGCGGTGTTTGTTTTAGTGGGCCTGCTGGTGATAAGTTCTGTGTGTGTGTAAGAATGTCTTCATTCTCCGCCATATTTGAAGGATGGTGTCTCCTGGTGTAGACATGTAGAGTGGCAGATACTTTCCTTCTTCAGTTTAATGTTGGCGTCCATTTTCTCTTGAGAAGTCAGCTGGCAGTCATTATTCTTTTTAAGTTATTCATGTGCCTTTTTTCTTTGGCAGCTTCTAAGGTTTTCTTTCTGTCTTTGGTTTTTGGCAGTTGGTCTTGGTGTGGTTTTCCTTGCATGTATTCCACTTTATATTTAACCTTCAGGAGTCTAAGCTGAAAGCCTGGGGTGTTTATAGGTTTCCTCCTTGACCAGCCCTGAACTCCAATTTTTTTTCTTCCTGCTTCCGTGAGATTGTTTAGAAACTCGTGTATGCCTTGAAGAGAAATTCTCCAAGTGGGGCTCTGTGGTTTCTTTTTCCTCCATTATCTTATTATTTCTTAAGTTCTGGCTGACTCACTGGTCCTAAACTCCAGTGTTTATCTCCTCAGCCCCATGAGACTGCTGAGAGTTCTGAGCTGCCGCCTTCTTCTAGGCCTCTTAGCCTCCACAGCGTATGACTCAGCATATGCTTTGTAGGGGAAAAGAGGTGGCATTCAGCCTGTCTGCTTCCAGCCTGTTCACTGTGCACTAGAAGTAATCCCTTCTTGTCTACTCAAGGACATCTCTTCAGCAATTATCCCGTCTCTGGCTGGTATCATCACCATTATCCCTCTTTACACAACCATTCCCATCAGCATATAATGATGTTGTAACACAGTCCATCTTTAAAACACTTGAGTGGACTTTCGTGGCCAACTATGATGGAATAGCTTACATCAGACCAGTTATTCCACCAAATACTGGATGGAATACGTAAGATAACTGTTTGAGGACAATGGAGAGCAGCTAAGGCAGCCAGGATGTAAGAAGTTGGACGCTACAGAGAAGGGAGATACACTACAGTGACACTGTTTGTCCATAGTGACATGAGGGAGGGTAGAGTACACGGGTTCAAATCCTGGCAGGTGGGTGGATTTGATGGTGAGTGTTGGTGGCATTTCTCCTCGGACTGTTTCAGTTTGTTAGTTGCTGTTAAGTAGTGGGTAGAAGGCTTGGGGATTTGAGGGGAGAGGGAAGAATGAGTTGACTAGGGAAATACAGTAGGCTTCCCGGCAGCACAAGGGCCCACTTGAGGTTAGTGGTCATGGAATTATAGGATTCAATTTAAAAAAGGAATAGAACAGAGAAACACTAGGCCTCAAGGAAAACTTTGGATACAGTCAAATAAAAAAATTATGGCCTCAGAAAGAATAGAAGTGAAATGATACTTTTAGGTTCAGAATGTTTGATTTATCAACGTATTTTTCCAAAGTTAAAAAATAAGAAAAAGGATATTAAAAATTTTCCAAAGTAGTCTTAAGGTCACAAGTGTCTAACATGTGGAGAAGCCGAATTATTTCTAAAATAAACCTTGATTCGTGAAGATGCCTTACACCATTCTTCTGTGGATAAGGCAGAACTAAATAACTGAGCACATCTTCCAGATCTCTCAGCGGGGAGTGGTGTGCTGTGAAGGGCTGTGTGAAGAGCAAACCTTGATTCTCTTTAGGTCACAGAATGGCTTCTAGCTGTCCAGTCTTTTTAACCCCAGAGTGTGATTTTCAAAGTATGCTGGGAAGTCGAAAAGTTAAACAAGCTTGTGGAAGAGCTGCACTGGCGCAACAGCTGCAGAGTCAGGGGCAGCGTGATGGGTGTGACCCACCGTGAGGCCTCAGGAGTGACTGGATGTCCCACTGCAGCGACAGGGAGTTGCTGCCGGCCCTGCTCCAGAGGCCCTGTCTGTCCTTGTCCTTCTGGCCTGCTTCCTTCCCCGCTTTGTTCCTCTTCATTCCTTTCTTCATCTCTCCCCTTCCCCCATATTTCACTACATTTAGCTACTTTTAGTAACCAGTAGGTAATAACATTTACTAAGCAAAATTTTGCATTCTCAATTTAAAATTGTACTCTCAATTCTAAATGGCAGTGATTTGAGTCCTTTTTTTACATCTCTTAAATGCACCCTACTAGTTCAAAATTTGGGAGCCCTACTGACTTTTTTCTTTCTTGCCAGATTTTAATTCTTCGTGGAAAAAAAATTAACCATGAAGACATGTATTAGACATATAAAAACTTTAAAGAGTAACATAATAGTACCCACTTAACTTAAGCAATAAAACATTATTAATAAAATTGAAGTCCTTCATGTACCTCTTGCCAATCACACGTCTTTCTCCCTTTCCCCAGAGATAACCACCAACTTGAATTTGTATGGGCCATTTCCATGCATGCTTTATATCCCTAAACAGCGTTCTCCTTATGTTTTTCAAATGTATGTTGTCGTCCTGTGTATCTTTCTGCAGTTATACTTTTCTTTCTACACTATTTGTTAGATTTATCTGTTTATACTCTTAATTAATTTATTTTCATGCTACATATACACATATGTATTTATTATATTTTTTATGTATCTGTCGTATAAATATGTCCCAGTTTTATCCATTCTCTGTTTTGGATATTTAGGTTATGTCTAATTTTTTGCTATTCTGTACGTGCTGCATTGAATGTTATTGTGCTGATTTCCTTGTTTGAGAGATTTTCTAGGGTATATGTACTGAAGTATTGGTGAATTATAGAATATGTGCTTTTTCAACTTCAATTTTCACTCCTACTAGAATTGTGTGAAATTATTGATGCTCCAAGCCTAGCAAGTACTTGATAACATGTATAGTCACAATTTGTTATTGGCTAAATAAGAGATTAATAGCTGAGTATAAGCTTAAAAAAAAAAAAAAAAAAAACCAACCCATTGACTTTGAGTCAATTCCAACTCATAGTTACTCTATAGAACACAGTAGAAGTGCCCCAAGGCTGTAAAGCTTTTATATGTGGAGTATAAATTTATATATATATAGTGTATATATTACTGTACCATAGTTTTACTTTGCTGTACTTTATTTAAAAAAGGATCTACCTTTTCTTAGGTTTAATTTTTATCAAAACAAATGTCTTTGTTGAGCCATAAGAGCAAATGATCCCTTAGGGAATTCATATGTTTACTTTTTTTTCTGTTCAGTATTTCTGTGATGAAGCCATAATTATGAAGCTGTCAGTTTGTACATGCTTTAAAGCCAGTGATTCTCATATGTGGTCTGCAGTCATGAAGGCAGGCATCCACGAAGTAAAAAAAGGATTTTCTTGACACTAAGACATCACCCTTGTCACCGTTGTGACATTTGCACGATTGGGCGAAAGCAGTGCTGGGTACAGCTGTCGGTGTCTTTGCAGATAGTGGCCCCAATCTGTAGCGATTTATGTTAACATTAATGGGTTTGTTTGTTATTTTTTGAGTGAATAAATATTTTAAAAATTTCTTAGTTTCAGTTTCTAAGACAGTAACCATCGTTAGATATAATTCACACAAACTAAATCCCTTGCTCTGAGAGTGTAAAGGGAGACCAAAAAGTTTGAGAATGACTGTTTTAAGTGTATGTTAAATTTATGAACAAGTATTTGTGTTGATGGTGATCGTTGAAAAGGAAAACTTAATAAAATTCCTTTAACAAATGAATTCAGTTAATCTTCAAGTTATATATGAATCTTAAGTAAACCTTCTATTCTTTGACTTAAATTGTTGTTTATGACTAGATTATATTTATATATAAAACCCTTTGCAGGTGCTGACCTTAAGGAAAGAGTCAAAATGCATTCCAGTGAAGTTGGGCCTTTTGTCTCCAAAATAAGAGCTGTGGTTAATGACATAGGTGAGCACAATTTAAATTCTCATTTCACCATGCTGAAGATGACCTTAAATGTCACACTGAAAAAGCTGTACATCTTCTTGATACGTAAACTTTGACCAAAATATTTTTATAACTAGGCAATCATGGCTTATAGCTGGTTGTTTTAAATAGAACAGAATATGTTTAAGTTTATGCCTCCTATGTGTTGTGACATGACATATGGAGGTGTTTATTAGAAAATAGGGTATAATTTGACTTAAGTTTTTACTTAAAATATCTGTATCTCTTAAATACCTGTACACACAAACGTATACTTATAGATTTAGATTTTTTTCTACATAAAAAGGATCATACTATATACTTAGAATTATAAATTTTGGAAATTTTTACATGTCAGTAAATATCAATCTTTTTATTTACTGCTGCATAGTGATCTATAACAAAGTCTTACCTAAAATTTTATTTTTTTATTGATGGACATTTAGCTTTTGGGCTTTTGTTTGCTTTTTTTCTTTTTGCTCTTTTTGCTATTTATAATTAAGCAGTGACTATGCTCATGTCTAAGTATGTGTGTTTATAGGATAGGTTCTTAAACATGGAATTATAGTTTTAAGGTTCACATTTTAATAACTCCTCTCAGATTGTATTCAAAAGGATTGTAATATTTCATATTCCCATCAGCTATATGAGAGTCCCTGGTTTCTCATACTCCTCTCAGCATTTAATGTGGTTAGTTTCTAAGTTTTGCCAGGGTAAAAAGCATGTTTGTCAGCGTTTTAATTTGCATTTCCCCAAATGCTTGTGTAATATTTTATCTTTGCAAAGTTAGGCTTGCCTTTTCACTTCTGTAAATCATCTTTTCATATCTTCTATCCTCCTTTCTATAGGATTATTTAATCAGTACTTATTTAAAAGGCATAGGGTCACTATGAGTCGGAATCGGCTCGAAAGCAACGGGTTTGGGATTTTTTTGGTTTTTATTTATTGAAAAGGCATTTTTGTATTAATTCTATGCTTGTTAAATATGTTGCAGATATTGTCTCTTAATGTACCACCCTAATTCAAATTCTACAGCTTTAGAGCAAATTTAAAAATTTTAATATCTAGAGAGTACTAGGATCCTTTCATTATTCTTTTCTGTTTTTTCCTTGAAGATTTTTTTGGACAATTCTCACACATCAATTCTTCCAAATGACTTTAAAATTTATTTGTTTTTTTAAACAAAGGGGAAAAAAGTACTCTATTAAGACTCTGACTGGAGTGACATACTTATGATATTATATCTTTTTATCTATGATGTGCATGGCTCTCATTTGTGGGGTGGAGGTAGTCATTCATTTTTTAATGTCCTTCAAGAAAGTTTTATAGTTTTTTTCACACTGGTCTGGGTCTTGTATTTTTTTTCCCCCTTCAAATTTATTCCTAGCTATTTTGTAGTGTTTGTTCCCTTGAATGGAATCTTTTTTCCCGTTTCTGTTTCAGCCTAATTATTGTAGGTCTGTAGGAAAGTTACTATTCTATGTACTTGTTTTGTATTAAGCCGGCTTGCTAATTACTTGTGTTATTTTTCTTTCTCAATTAATTTTCTTTCGCTTTCCAGATGAAAAGTTCATAATCTATAAGTAATGAAGTGTGTATCTTTTCTCTTCCTAACATTTTAATCTTAATATTTTTCATATTTTTTCACATTGGCTAAGGCCCTCAGTGCAATATTAGTTTGCTGAGGTGAGAGTGTTCATCCTTATCTTTCTTTTGACTTTGATGAATGGCTGTAATTTTTTGCCAGTTAACAAGTTTAGAGTTTTCTTTTTCAACTTGCTAGGAGTTTGCTATTATTTTTTAATCAGGAATAAGTGTTGAAGTTTATCAAATGCTTTTTTTAAATATGTGTCGGGAAGATCTTATAATTTGTCTTGTTTAGCCTTTGTAAATTAAATTATATTAGTAGAATTACTAATAAAAATAAGTCCACGAGAGCCAAAGTACAACAGTGCATATATCCCACCTGAATTTAGACCCTATTTGAAAGGTAGGTTTGATGCATTAAACACTAATGACCAAAGGCCATGAGGGTTGTAGGATGACATCATACATGAAGAAAGCAAAAGGTCATTAAAAAGACAGAAGGTACCAAAATAGATGTCAGAGGAGTCTCTGAAACTTGCTCTTGAACTAGTGTCGCTAAAACAAATGGAAGAAAAGAGCTAAACAGAAGATTTCAAAGGACAGCTCAACAACACAAAGTGTTAAAATGAAATGTGTAAAACCTGGAGTTAGAAAACCAAAACGGAAGAACTTGGTTGCCATTTCTCAAGATGAAAAAACTCCAGAAAAAAATTCAAGCCTCAAGTTGCAATATTGAAGGATCCTGTGGACAAAAAGTTGAATAGTAGGAAGCATCAAAGGAAGATGGAATGAATAAACAGAGTCACTGTACCAAAAAGAATTGGTCGACATTCATCCATTTCAGGAGGTAGCATATGATCAAAAATCAGTGGTACTGAAGGAAGAAGTCCAAGCTTCACTGAAGGCATTGGCGAAAAACAAGTCTCCAGAAATTGACTGAATACCAATTGAGCTGCTTCCACAAATGGATGCAGCGCTGGAAGTGCTCACTTATCTATGTTAAGAAATTTGGAAGACAGCTACCTGGCCAGCTGACTGGGAGAGATCCGTGTTCGTGCCCATTCCAAAGAGGTGATTTAACAGAATGCGGAAATTGTCAAACAATATTATTAATATCATATGCAAATAAAATTTTGCTAAAGATAATTAAAAAATGGCAACAGCCATACCTTGACAGAAAACTACCAGAAATTTAAACCAGATTCAGAAGAAGATGTGGAATGAGGGATATCATTGGTGACATCAAATGGATCTTGTCTGAAAGCAGTGAATACCAGAAAGATGTTTACCTGTGTTTCATTGATTATGCAGAGGCATTCTGTTGTGTGACTCATAACAAATTATGGATAGTATTGTGAAGAATTGAAATTCCAGAACACTTAATTGTGCTCACGGAGAACCTGTAAATAGATGATGAGGCAGCCGTTGGATCAGAACAAGGGGATATTGTATGGTTTAAAATTGGAAAAGCTGTATGTCAGGGTTGTATCCTTTCACCATACTTATTGAATCTATATACCGCATAAATAATCCAAGAAGCTGGAATATATGGAGAAGAACATGGCATTAGGATTGGTGGAAGACTCATTAACAACCTGTGATATGCAGATAACAGAACTTTGCTGAAAGTGAAGAGGACTTGAAGCACTTACAGATGAAGATCAAAGAGCACAGCTTTCAGTATGGATTACGCTTCAACATAAAACAAAAATTCTCACAACTGGACCAATAAGCAACATCATGATAAATGGAGAAAATATGGAAGTTGTCAAGGATTTCATTTTACTTGGATCCACAATCAACACCCATGGAAGCAGCAGTCAGGAAATCAAACAATGTATTGCTTTGGGTAAGTCTGCTGCAAAAGACCTCTTTAAAGTGTTAAAAAAGCAAGAATGTCACATTGAGGACTAAGGGTGTGTCTCACCCAACCTGTGGTATTTTAATAGCTTAATGTGCATGGAAAAGCTGGACAATGAATAAGGAAGACTGAAGACGAATTAATGAGTTTGAATTATGGTATTGGTGAAAAATATTGAATTTACCGTGGACTGCCAGAAGAAGGAACAAATCTGTCTCAGAAGAAGTACAGCCAGAATGCTTTATTAGAAGCAGGAATGGCGAGACTTCGTCTCACATACGTTGGACATGTTATCAGGAAGGATCAGTCCCTGGAGAAGGACATCATGCTTGGTAAAGTAGAGGGTCAGCATAAAAGAGGAAGACCGTCAGTGAGATGGATTGACACAGGGGCTGCAACAGTGGGCTCAGGCATAACAGTGATTGTGAGGATGGTGCAGAATTGGGCAGTGTTCCGTTCTCTTGTACATAGGGTCGCTGTGAGTCGAAACAGACTTCATGGCACCTAACAACAACAGCTAGACCTTTCTTTCTTGTCTTTTTAGTGACCTTTTGCTTTCTTCATGTATGATGTCATCCCACAACTTGTCTGGCCTTCGATAATTAGTGTTCAGTGCATCAAATCTGTTCTTGACAAGGTCTCTAAATTCAGGTGAGATATGCTCAAGGTTGTACTTGGGCTCTTGTAAGCTTGTTTTAAGTTTCTTCAGCTTCAACTTGAATACGCATATGAGCAATTGATGGTCTGTTCTGCAGTCGGCCCCTGTTCTTGTTCCACAGATGTAGTCGATTTGATTCCTCTGTATTCCATCTGGCAAGATCCACGTGTGTATTCGCCATTTATATTGTTGAAAAAGGTATTTGCAATGACTAAGTCATTGGCCTTGCAAATTTCTGTTATGGGATCTCCAGGTAGTTTCTATCACCAAGGCCATATTTTCCAACTACCAATCCTTGTTTCCAGCTGTCTCATTCCAATCACCAGTAATTATCAGTGCATCTCAGTTGCATGTTTGATCTATTTCAGACTGCAGAAGTTGGTAAAAATTTTCAAATTCTTTATCTTTGGCATTATTGATTGGTGTGTAAATTGGAATCATAGTTGTATTAACTTGGTCTTCCGTGTAGGCGTATGGATATTATCCTGTCACCGACAGCGTTGTACTTCAGGATAGATCTTGAAATGCCCTTTGTGATGAAGAAAGCGACACCCTTCCTCTTCAGTTTGTCATTCCCAACAAAATAGACCATATGATTGTCTGATTCAGAATGGCCAATACCAGTCCATTTCAGCTCATTAATTCCTAGGAAAGTGATCTTTATGCGTTCCATTTCATTTTTGATGACTTACAGTTTTCCTAAATTCATACCGTGTACATTCCTTTGTACTCAAAATGAGAAGAAACAGCTGCAAACATCTGATGATTAATGGATGTTTGTAGCTGTTTCTTTTCATTTTGAGTCACGCCACATTAGCAAATGGAAGGTCTCGAAAGCTTTACTCCATCCAGGTCATTAAGTTTGAGTCTGCTTTG